AAAGGGGGTGGTGGTGAGAGGAGAGGGACAATAGCGGAGGAAAAGAGGTGGGTGGAAAAGACGGATTGGTCGGAAGAGGCAAGAGAGGAGTTTTGAAGAAGAACGGAGGAGGTAGAAATAGGTAGGGGGGCAATAGATAAAGAGGTCGAAAAGTTGACAAAAAAAATTAAGATGGAAGTAAAGTTGAGAAGAGTAAAAAGAGGGGCAGAAGAAAAGGGAGTATGGTAGGATGGGGACTGTAGGAAGAAGAGGGAGAAAATAGAAAAATTATTAAGAGACTGGAAAAGAGGAAAAAAACACAAAGAAGATCATAAGAGAAGAAAGGAGTATAAAGAAAAGTGTGAGGAAAAAGGAAGAAAAGAGAAATCTGCTGAAAGAGGCAAGAGAAACGAGAACAGAGAAGCAGGTGTGGGAAGTAATAAACAAGGAAAGGAGAAGAAGCTAGGGTAGAAATTAATAAGGAGATAACATTAGAGGAGTGGGATAAATACTTTAGGGAGATGTTAGAAGAAACAAAATACAAGCGAAGGCTTCTTCTAGGAGAGGAGGGAGAGCAGGGATCGGATGGGGAAGTGGAGAAAGAAAAGGAGATTGGATGGAAGAAAGTAGAGAGAGTGCTGAAAGGGCTGAAAAAAGGTAAAACAGCGGAAAAGGACTAGATAGGAAATGAAGTGTGGAGTTATGGGGGAAGTGGTTTAAGAAAAGCGTTATGGGAGAGTATGGAAAGGAGAGGGTTTTCCAGAGGCGTGGAAGGACGGAGTAGTCGTTCCGATAGCGAAAAAGAGGGGCAAAAGAGGTAGTGAACATAGAGGGATTACGCTGATACCGTTGGCGTACAAAGTGTACGCGTCGATATTAGCAAATAGGTTGAGGGAAGAGATGGTGGAGAAGGGGATGATTCCAGAAAGCCCAGCTGGGTTTAGGAAGAGGAGAGGAGTGGTGGACAACATTTACACACTGAATTATGCAATAGGAAAGCGATTAAAGAGGAAAAAGAAGGTAGTGGCTGCTTTTTAGATCCAAGGGCGGCATTTGATTCAGTGGACAAGAGGGTTTTGGGAAGATGTCTGAAAAAACCAGGGGTGAATGAGAAGTTGGGAAAGAGAATCATGGAAATATACGAGAAAACAAGGAGTGTAGTGAGGATGGAGGAAAGATACGGAAAGAAATTTTGGACAGCGAGAGGGGTAAACGGAAAAATTAACAGAACCGATCAGGATTTGAACTTGAAACCTTTCGTTTTCTACCTTCGTAGTCTGTTACTGTGTGTTGCTTCACAATTGCTTTACCCCACATAGCAAAATGTTGGCAGTATCCTGACAGCATTTGCCAGTAAATTTGTTTCATAATTTCACAGCAAGATCTTCTTGTGCTGTGTTTTTTATTCTATCCTATTTGATTTTTACTACCTTATAATCTGTTTTATCAATAAGTATGCCAGTTTATGTTGCATCTCAATTTTATATTTAAATATAAAACTGCATTGTATATATGAGAAAAATAAAAAAAGAAAAATTTAAATAGTTTTAGGACGTTACAAACATGTAAAATGATCTAATATTATCAATAATATATTCACTATTATTTAAACTGTACAATTAGTAAAAGAGACTTGGGTAAATTTTATTTTTAATAATTGCTTTTGAATGATTCGTTTTTAGCATATTTTATATATAAAAATCAATAAATGTGTAAAGTAAGGGTTTTTACGTCTTTAATTATACAAGTAAATTATGTCCTCATCAGCATTAATAAAGTGCGGTGTTTAGTTTTTCAGAAATAAGGAAGTGTCGCTTTAGACTACCTATGTCGATATAAGCGACTTACTCTTCACTTCTAATAAAAATATAAAAAATGTATAATTGTATTGTCGTGAAATAAAATAAATGCGCGCGCGTAGCGCGCGCCTGTTTTGTTCTATTCGTGAAATAAAATAAAAGCGCGCGCGTAGCGCGCGCCTGTGTTGTTCTAGTCCACTTTTAAAAAAAGCGTGTTACCTGAGTGAATTTCGTTTGTATCGTAAAATTGAAGCCTCTTTTCCGCGATGCCGATTGGCTATCTCGATTGATTGCCGCGCCGTAGCTTGCTTCATCCCGTGAGGGACTGTCATCGCGGAGTGTGGCGAATTTCGTGCGTGTAGTGCGTCGTGTGTGTCATGATGTGACAGCTCGCGTCGTGTCGCGAGGTTAATCATCCCGCGATTATTATATAATAGCATAATGTTAAAGCTAAATGGCGCGCGCGAAGCGCGCGCGTCTGTAGTGTCTAGTCCATAATAAAAAAATCCATTTGGACCGAGAAGTGAGCTTTGCGAGTCGAATATCTCGCACGTAGTGTTGCCGCTTTTCCGCGTGCGTGATTGGCTGGCGCGGTCGAGATTGACGGCGATCGCGAGATCGCGGCGAGTTTGGCGAGTTTCGCGTGTGTTAAATCGTGCGACGTGACGTGTGTTCGCGTGGTGTCTCGCGAGGTTAGTAGGATTTTTTATTATATATAATCCACTATTACATATAATATATGTGGATAATATTGGTAAACAAATATCTTTTAACGCAATGACGTGTGCTCGCGTGGTGTCTCGCGAGGTTAGTTAAATTTTTTGCTTGCTCGTACAAATCTAATCTAAGGTATACGTTACAGTAACTATAGATTTTTGATACAGATTTATCTTTGAAATCATATTTTATATATAAACAGATGTAAGTGATAATTACTGTTTTTGCATTATGTAAAATTTGCCTTATTTTAGATAATATTCCGATGAATTTAATGTTCGAGAAGATCTGATGGGATTAGCTATTGGTGCTCATGATGCAAATATTCAACAAGCGTGAAAAGTTGATGACATTACAAATATAGTTAGAAGAAAATTCATGCACATTTAAGATATATAGAGAGGTAATTATAAAAATTATTATTGCTTGTATTATTTCAAAGAGTATTGTTTTTTTTATAAAAGTTTACTGACCGGTTTTTTATCTAAAATGTATATAAATATTCGTATATATGTTGCATTATATTGAGCTGGTATACAGAGCTTATCAGATTTCTTTCTCAATCACAGACGCATGAAGCTGTTAAGAAAGACCGATCTATGCAGGAATAAAGCAGTAACCTAAAAATAGATAGTGACAGTGTGACAGTCGTGACCATCGCCGCGTGATAGATGATAGTGATAGTGAAATATATATTGACGGCAGGGAGCTGATGCCGAGGAGATCTTTCAGAAGGAAGGTGTATCCAAAATCACACACGTACGTATATATGTTGTTTTGTAAAAGTTGTAAAAGTTAAGAGAACGAGAAAGTGATCTGGTATCTATATGCACGTTGTGACAGGCACTATCGCGTAATAAAGATTTCTCCGAAGTATGTTTATATTGTACTTTACTTTCGTTAATTTGGATGCTTTGAATGTACAATCTCGCGTCTTCAAAATATAACAATTCTCAGACACTGTTGAGGAATAATTGTCTAGCACAAAAGGTCCTTTTGTGCTAGATAATACGAGTTGCTACAGAGTGCCTCTAATTGTAAGAATCTCTTCTCCTTTACCCCCTCTTTCTTTTCCCAATCCCGAATTAACACTATTGCGTGGTTCGTATCGCGTGTCATTACCTATTATAAATATCCTCCTTTTCTCTCGTTTTCTCACGCAGGAACATTTTATATTCAACTATATGGTATACAATTTTGCCGCTATATATTGACCGCAGGGAGCTGATACCGAAGAGATCTTTAAGAAGGAAAGTGTATCCAAAATTGCATATGTATGTACGTATATGCTGTGTTGTAAATTGTAAAAATTGAAAAGAACGAGGAAACGTTCTGTAGCACAATTTATATTGTAGTTATGCTAAAATATTTGTGAATTAAGTCCCTGTTATCCATTATTATAATATAATTTTTATCAGCAATATTAGAGGAGTAACGAAAATTAATTTTATTAAGTATTCAAAGCAATTGATAGTTTTTAGCATTAAATATTTCCATTTTCTCATAATATGCTTAAAAAATATTGCAGGGGACTTGTGAGTTATGCGAAGCAATTGATACTGTTAAGGTTCATTGGTCATATGAAGTTTGCACACGTCAAGCTTGACATCCTAAAGACATCCTACACAATGCATTCTGAAAACGATACCGTGCAGGTTCGTTGGCGTATACGTGGTGTCATCACAGGCTGGAAGGTATTTTCTGTGTTTTGGAAGTAAAATTTGTAAAATACAACATGTCATAAAATAAGCGCTATCCAGGAAATGTAAGTGTAATCAGTGTTCTAAACATTCCTTTTAAAAGTAATATAAAATTGTTCTTATAAACATTAATTATATAATTAATTCAAGTTGTCTATTATTTGAAAAGAACTTGATTTTTAGTTTTGTTTTGTATTCTACCTTCAGAAAAAGATAAAATAATTTAGATTTCCTAAAATTAATTTTGTTTATGCTATCGGAGAGGAAACACTTATTATAAAATTGATTATAATACCGAGACAATTATATATAACGATTTCAGATGGTACGACGGCTTTTTTATTTTTTACGTTATTGCTGAATGGAAAAGTCTATAAGCATATTGCGGACAAGATGATGCCTAATCAGGATACAGCCACGAAAAAGAAAGATATGCGCATGGCAGGGAAATTAGCGCTATTCACAGGCCTTGTAAACATATTTAGTATCAACGAGGATTCTTTGAATTGAGCTCTGTCTTAAAATCGCATCAATTGAAGTGAATCCATTGCTGAGTGCTGAAATTATACGATTTTATCCGTCACAACGAACAGACCAAGAGGAATGCTTTTTCCAGTCGATGGTTTCGAATGTTGCTGACATATCTATTTCGTTGCAAATGCATCATTATGAAATGATGATCGGTAGTAAATGAAAGATATGTGAATTAAAAAGATGTGTACATTAACTAAACAGTATCTTTGTATGATTACAAACTATCTTCATCTAATTTTTTAGTGACAATGTCCGAATAATTTGCGTTAGTATTTCTGTAAAAAAAAATATGACGATTATATTACAGTATATCTGACGATTTTAACATAATTATAGAGGTAGGGTGTCTAAATTGTTATCGTTCCATCCAAATGTAGCTTTTATACTATTCGGATAGTATCGATATTTTATGCTGGTTAGAAACAAGTAAAAAGTATTTTAAGACACTTGTATCGTTTCCAGAATATAAAAACTTGTGTTTAGATTACAGATATACGTTTTAAGTATTGGCGTATTTATTTCGTTGCAAATGTATCATTATGAAATGATGGTCGGTAGTAAACGAGAGATATGTGAATTAAAAATATGTACATTACCTAACCCTTCATCTGATTTTTTAATTTTAGTAGTGACAATGTCCGAATAATTTTGCGTTAGTATTCCTGTGTAAAAAAATATGACGATTATACGATTATATTACAATATATCTGAAAAATGTTAAAAAATGAAACAATTGTTTAAAGGTATCCTGTATATCATAGTATCTATTTGCTTTGCCTGTATGGAATGTTAATAACGCGTAAGATAATATGATCATTAAAGTAATATTTCTTAAATGTATATTTCATACTTAATTTTATTTCATAAATACTATCACATTTATTCCTATGAATCGTTTTCATTACGCTATTATGATTTTAACATAATTATAGAGGTATAATAGATTGTGTAAATTATTACCGTTCCATCCAAATGTAGCTTTTATAGTATTATTTATTGTATCGATACCTTAAGCTGTTTATACAAAAGTAAAAAGTAATTTAAGACGAGAGAAAAATATAGAGATAGAAAACGAAGAAAGAAGGAAAAGAGAAGGAACAATATAGAGAAAGGTATTATATATTATAAAAATATTTATTATATTGCAAATATATTTAAATTTATATATTAGTTAACTTCTTTATATACACTACCTCTCATTAATTTCAATATACAACAGATTCGTTGATTTCTCTGTAATGGATGAACATCATGATACGTGTTTTGCACAGAAATGAATTCACTTGTTGTTATAAACATTTCACTTGCATGCGTGGCATTTTTATATAAATAATATATAAAAATGCAATGCATGTGCAAGTGTTTATAACAGCAAATGTATTCATTTCTGTACAAAACATATGTATCATGTTCATCATGTCCTTTACAAAGAAATTAACAAATATAGGGGTATATTGAAATTAATGAGCGGTAGTGTATATAAAGAAGTTAACTAATATATAAATTTAAATATATTAGTTAAGAGATGGAGAGATGGGAGGAAGAAAGGGCAGGGAGAAGTGAAAGAGGAAGGAAAGTGGGGGATAAAAAAAAAAGATAAAGCAATGGAAGCGAAGGTAAGAGAGCTAGAAAAATGGAGAGAGTTAGAAGAGAGAGACAGAAGGAGGAACAATGTAGTAGTGAAAGGGGTGTAGGTAGAGGAGGGAAGGCAAAAGAAAGCGGTAGACAAGCTATGGCTAGAGATGGGGAAGGAGGGAGGAATAAAGGAGGTAAAAGAGGTAGGAAGAAAGAGGGGGAAAGAGAAGATGGTTTTAGTTAGGTTAAAAGATAGAGTAAGAAAAAGAGAGGTAATGCAGAAGAAGAATGTGTTGAAAGGGAGGATAGAAAGAATAAAGAATGACATGACCTTGAAGGAAAACATCAAAGAAAAATGCAATGGAGCCTGAAGAGGACAGTTAAGAAGGAGAGAAAAAATAGAAGGAAAGATTGGGTAAAGTACGGAAAATTTTGGATAGAGGGGAAAAGGTGGAGTTGGGAATAGGAAAAAAAATCCTGATAGATGGAAGGGGAAATGAGAGAAAGGAGCATGAAAAAGGAGGTGGGAGAAAGAGGAACAGAGGAGAAGGAAAAGAGTAGAAGAGAGGGAGACGGAAAAATGAAATCGAAAGAGAGTGAGGGAGAAAAAACGATGGGAGGGGAGGGTGGAGAGAAGAGGGAGGAGAGGGAGAATAGGGAGGAAGAGTGTGCTGAGGCTGAGGGGAAGGGGGAAAAAAGTCAGAGAAAGTAGAGTGTGGAAAGTAAAAAGGAGTGAAAAAGAGAAAAAAAAGGGAGAGGTGGAAGAAAGGAATGCAGGAGGGAGGAGGAGGAGAAGGAACAGAAAGGAAACCCAAAGATAGGCTTTTGGGATGTAGCAGGAGTGAAGGGAAAACAGGAAGAGTTTTAAGAAAGGATAAAAAAGTGGGATTTCGTGGGGTTGGTGGAAACATGGCTGAAATAGGAGGAACGGGAGAAGATGAAGAATAACGTGCCAAAGAGTTCAACTGGAGGATACAGGGTGTAAAGAAAGAAAGAGTTGGAAGAAGAAGAAGAGCAATAGGTGGGATAATAATGGGAGTCAGAAAGAGGTTAGAAGGGGAAGAAGAATGGATAAAAGAGGAGGGTTTAATGATTAGAAAAGTAAGATGGAAGAAGGAGAAATGGAGATTGGCAATAGTTTACGTAAGCGGCAACTTATAATAATGTGTAAGATAAAATCGGTGAAAGAGGAGGAAGGGAGAGAGGAGAGATGGATAATGGGAGCGATTTCAGTGCGAGAACAGGGGAGAAAGGAGCGCTGGAGATGGAGAAGAGGGAGTTGAAGGAAAATTGAAACATAAAATAATAAATAGGCAGGGAGAAGGGCTAATTAGATGGGTTGAAGAAGAAGGGTGGGGAATTATGAATGAAGCAAAGGAGGGAGATGAGAAGGAGGGGTGAATTTACAGGAAAAAGAGGGGAAACAGTGATCAATTACGCGAAAGAAGATAGGAAGGTTTGGGAAAGAGTGACAAGATTGGAGGTGGGGTGTGAGGTAGATTTGGATCACCAATCAGTACCAGTACGGGTGGACAAAGGGGGTGGTAGTTAGAGGAGAGGGACAATAGCGGAGAAAGAGAGGTGGGTGAAAAAGACGGACTGGTCGGAAGAGGCAAGATAGGAGGAGGTAGCCCAGCCAAAACGCCGACGTCTATAGACGTCGAATTGACATCTCATAGATGTCGATTCGACATCTATCGACATCTATAGACGTCGAAAAGACGCTAGCATTCCGGCTGGGAGAAATAGGTAAGGGGGGGGGGCAATAGATAAAAAACTCGAAAAGTTGACAAAAAGAATTAATATGAAAGAAAGTATGAGAAGAGTAAAAAAAAGGGGCAGAAGGAAAGGGAGGATAGTGGGATGGAGACTGTAGGAAAAAGAGGAAGGAAGTAGAAAAGTTATTGAAAAACTGGAAAAAAGGAAGAAAATATAAAAAAGATTATAAGAGAAGAAAGAAGGAGTATAAAGAAATGTGTGAAAGGAAAATGGAAAAAAAGAGAAATCTGCTGGAAAAGGTAAGAGAGGCGAGAACAGAGAAGCAGGTTTGGGAAGTAATAAAGAAGGAAAGGAGAAGAGTAGAAATTAATAAGGAGATAACAATAGAGGAGTGGGATGAATACTTAAGGGAGATGTTAGATCGAAGGAACGGAATACAAGCGAAGGTTAGGAGAAGGAGTGGAGGAAGAGCAGGGGCGGAAGGGGAAGTAGAGAAAGGAGAGGGGATAGGATGGGAAGAGGTAGAGAGAGTGCTGATAAGGCTGAAAAAAAGTAAAGCGGCGGGAGAGGACGAGATAGGAAATAAATGTATATCCATAAATGTATATCCATAAACTATTATTTTAATTATCATTTCCTTACTTGCCGACATTGTGATATTTTAAGTCTATTAATTATAATTATATAATGAGCGACAAATTTGTTTAAAATTTGAAAATTTCGAAGGAATTGGAGAGAGTGCTGTTATACTACATATTTAACTTTTAAAATACTCTGTATTTATGTTTTTTATTACTGTTAATTAATATTATTGTTAGAATTAAAAAGATCACAACTTTTATTATTAGTTGTTCCTATAATACACATAGTACATACATTATGTAAGAGAAAGGGGGAAAAAGTGACGAATTGTTAATTTCTCTAAACTAATAACAGATAACGAGTCGATGCTGAACGTTAAAGGCGTTAGATAATAATGAATAATTTACTTGCAGTTTGATTTCAATCTGTTTACAAAAACATATAATAGGGTAACTTCGATATATACGCCACAGCTAAGGGAAACTTAATTTATCGAGTACTATTTACTATGCTTAAGGCAAATAAATTATACTAATAAAAACTTTATACTGTCTACTACTAGAAACATAAAATATTGATTTTTTGTATTTAATAAAAAAAAACTTAGAAACACTTGCATTTTTGCCATATATCCTGAAGATATATAAGAAAGGTGGATTATATGACATTCATGGGTAAAATGTAAGCCTTATAAAAAGTTAAAAATAATGTTTATAAATAAGGTAATAAAATCTCATAACAAGTTATAAAATGTGTGTGAGAAGTTTATTAAAATGAAAGAAAGATAAACAAATTATAAAACTAAAAAATTTTAAAAAGAAAATAGAAGAACGATAGGTGCATTAAAGATTATTATTGTTATACGATCCAAAAAGAGAAGAAAAAGGAACACAGGAGATTTCGAGTTTTACAAAGTATCCGTACTATGGTCTAAATCCCGCATGCTAACTTGCCGTATATCCTAAACACAGGAGGGATATACAAGATATTAAGGTAAACAAAAAATACAAGAGTTATGCACTTGTATTTTGCTGTATTTCATCATTTACTATCCCTCTACACTTATGTATCATGAAATAACTATTAAACTTTTTACATTCCCTACAGTAATTATTTTACGTAGGTCGTAACACAAGATCGCGCTTCTTACTACGGTGAGAAATCAATTCAAATCACGACAGTTTCGTTAATATTAACAATAAAGAACTGAAATTACAACACAATACTAATATGGCATAAAGGCACATAAAAGAATAATTGCGAGCAAGTAACTTCATTCCTTCTATTTTTTCTGACATCTGCGGCGTAAAACCCCGCGTGGCGTAAAAATACCAGAGACCTTATAATAAAAAATGTTTTGGACGTATC